ACTCTACATCGCAAACAAAGAAGCAATAGCAACAGGTGACACCATCTTCTTTGGTTGAGCTAGTGAAAGCTTCCCTGCATAACAAAATTTACATGAAATTAGATTATAGCAAAACGCACAAAGGAAAACTGCTTGGGAAACTAATCTCAGCACAATTAATATTACATACCCTTTATGCCTTCCGCGAGGTTTGATCGCATAGTATCGGTTTGAGGACAACGGCTGATCAAGAACAGGAATGAAGACTACATCATGGCGACTAACATGATTGTTCTCTCCACTGCCAGAGGAATACCGAACCACAAGCTTCTTGTTTTGAGGGAAAGGCAGGGAAGTTACTTGATTACTGTTGCAGGTGCCAAAACAACAGGTTTCTTCAGCTTCTTCATCCTGAATGACCAGAATACCGGAGTTTGGACCCTCTGGAGGAGGTGATGCTAATGTTGACGGGGATTTTCTGTACAAGGAGAGCGGCCTTGTCACGTACATCTTCGATCTTTGGTGTCTTTTTTAATTTCTCTGAAAATTGTTTCCATCTCTCTCTATTTCTAGGCTTATAGCAGAAAAAAAGAATTTTAATCTTGCTATTGACTAATCAATATCCATGGACTATTATGAATTAATAACGCGCATAAATAATTAGGAACCAAAAGAATTCAAAGGTTTGACAATTCTTGCTCCTGTTTCGTATCCGGGGAAGTTGCTGAATGTGTTGAAAATTAAGTGTATGCACCTGACGTGCAATCAAAGGAGAGACCGAGAGACCAGATCAAAACCACAAATGAGAATGACAATCTGGTGGAATTAAGCTACGTACCGCCTCCCGGCCGGGCCGCCTAATCTCTATATGACTTGGACGGTTGTACCATGCAAAAATTTTGACGATGGAAATTCAATCATTGAATTCCAAGATGAAAGCTTCCGTGATTGAACTTGATACGATGAAAGCTTCTTTGATAAACTTGATTATTAAAACAAGGTTATGGTAATTCTTTTGAATAAACCAATCATGGAATTTTTGGATATATTACTAGCTTTGAACTTAATTTTTAAGGTCAAAGAACAGTTTCGCCATGTTCCGAGAACAAAAGGGTAAGAAATGAAATACCCATCACCAAATAACTAGGTACTCAAGGAAAGGCTCAAACTGGGGATGAATCTTCCTTCTTCTTCTTTTTTTCTTTTTTTTTTTTTTAATTTTTTAATGAAAGGGGATGAGTCTAATTGGACCATTTATGGTCACTTTAGGTTTCTTGGCTTGGACCTTTTTTGTAATAGAATAGCTCGATGCCACACGTTGCACCATGCCAATGGCCTGACTCAAAAATGATTGCAGCATACTAGCCGATAGAGGTCCAATAGTCAGCACTATAGGGGTTGAACTTATTGGGACCAAGGAGTGGAAATAAAAGTTACATACATTCGAATCCTTCCCAATAAATGAAAAGGCTTTTTACATCGAGTTATTTTGCTACCTTACCTGGAGGCTTTCCCTCCGGAGTCATACTTAAGATAGTAACATTATGGGATAAAGCCAACCATATTTATAACAAGATAGAGATTTTAAGAATTTAAAGAAAAGAGTGAAGTAGAAGAATACTTCGTAAAAGAGACAAAGGTGCTTAATGCCTAGTCTAAATAATTGTCCTTACGGAACACTTTATCTTCCAAATTACTCAACCTTGATGAACTACATCCCCACATATGTCCTTTTCAAAGTGCACTTTATTGCTAAATGCTATACATTATAGAGGTACAAGAACACAAGCAATTTCTTCCTTTTTGCCCTCTTTCTGTGTTTATAGAAAATTCATACGCACCCCTTGTTAGCTACCTCTCCTTCATTACATAAAAATTAACATGACTACATGAAGAAAAAAGGAAGATCAGAGACCAAAATACACATGACAAAACACAAAAAGAACATAAAATAAGACATTGATCCTAAACTATAATCAAGGATTAACAGTAAGATCTTCATCTTTTTTCCTAGGATTACTAGCCCAAGTTTGATGGTTCTTGAAGATCCATCGCCATCCTTTGAAACTCTTTCTGCTCTTCTTAATCCCCCTATCATTCAACGTGATCCTACATGATCCCCCATTGTAAATACCACCGTCTCCGGCGAGAGTACTGTCGCCGGTTTCCGGTGGGACAAAATCAGCTACCCTCATGCTACCAAAAGCAGATTTAGAATCCGACAGAACACCTTTCTTAAAAGCAGTGACATCCCCTTTTGATTCTGGCTGGAAATCAAATTTCAAATCAATGAACCCGGAATCATCTCCGCCGGAAAAGTAACTCTCTTTGAGGGAAAAGACACGGCGGTTTGCTCCGGTGAATCCACTTTTAACATCAGGACCAACATCAGTACTGTCTCTTCTATCACTGTCAAACCCACTTTTCCTCGGCTCTGCTTCACTGAACCCACTTTTTCTCTCGGGATCAAAAACCAGACCGCCATTGACGCTTGAACTCCGAGCGGCGGAGATAGAGCTCCGGGCACCGGAGTAGTTCATCAAATCACCCCCATCTTCCGACCCAAAAAACCCACCTCCCCTGAAACTGCAAAGAGACCTAGACCTCGACACGCCACCGGCGTAATCAACAACCCACAAATCGCTTTTCTCATCCATCCCACCAGCACTCTTCCCAGAGTCTCTGTGATCTTTCTTCCTCCTGAAAAGCCTCCCAATTTTCCAAAATCCATTCTTTCTCTTGATCTCAACACAGCTACTATTACTTCTCTTGAGGAAGAAAACCTCTTCCGATCCGTCTCCACTGTTTTTAGGCTTTGAAATCACTTGATCCCTGTTTTCATTCTCAATTAAGAAGGAGACCCGCCCAACACTACCCACCTCACCAGTGCATGAAGTTCGAGGATTGGATGAAATCTCAGAGCAAGAACAAGAAGAAAGCCTCTGCTCCCCGCAATCGGAGCAAACCAGCTTCACCAGACGATCCTTGAGACAGTAAGGACATATACCAACTGAAGAAACTTGTGGGTGTTTCCTGCATGGAAGATCCGATGAAGTGCTGTAATCTTGGCAGAAATCATTGTTGTATACTTCCACAGCTTTGCCTCTATCTTTCATATCTTTCTTCACATAGACCAAATGAATTGAATTTGGGTAACAAAGGAAACGAAGAAAAGAATCAGAATGTGCCCAGAAAAGAGCAAAAGTGAAAGTTAAAGACTGAGACTTTCAGTGATGCAAGGGACTATGACTCACTGAGGCATTTAGGCGAACAGATGGAAGGAGGGCAAAGAGGAGGCTTTAGCTTTACGTTTCCTGGGGACGATTGTGATGTAGAAAGCGCTAGTGGCTGCTGCCTGCGGGTATAATTGTGTAGGGAAGTGAAGGCAACAGCAGAATTGAGTAAAGCAGTGAGCAATTGCTTAAGCTACCCCTATCCTTCCATGCAACAGTCTCTTCTCTATACTTGGTTTCTGAAAGTCTCACTTCATCAAAAGTCAATACATCATGTGGTCTAAATCCATCAATCTGTCATCTCTCTCGTGTCAGCATTTTTGTTTTCCTAAGATTTTATTGACTTTTAAGTTTTAACGGAAGGGTTGGATATGGGGAA